ACGCAATTGGTACCGGGTGCAAGGGCTCCACGCCAACAGAGGCAAAGAAAGACTGCCCAGATTAGAAGTTAAGGATTTCCCCATTAGTTAAAATACCAGTCATGAAGATAGTGCCTGTTCCCTGTGGACAAGACTGCAAGAGGCAATAGACTGTTAAGAAAGCCTTGAAATACCTGTTTGTTTTCATTAATAAAGAACTTTGTTGAACCTTTAAGCAATCTAAAGACTTTTTTTTAAGGAAATCCAAGAGCCTTTATTTGGAGGCAGCCCTGGCGTCCCGTTGGGCACACAGAATTTATGTCCTGTCTACAGTCTTATGCACAGGCCCAGCGTGCGGCAGCACACATGGACTTAGTATATATTTAACCTCCCAAACACATACAGTCGTCCCTCCACATTTGTGGCTTTGACTTTTGTGGATTTGGTTGAAAATGTTCTCTGGTCAACATCCTCCAGTTGTGCTGAGGAATCTACAGATTTCTAGGAATAACTTTTCAAAACAAATCTGTGAGTAATCAAATCTGCAAAAGTCAAAACTTTGTAGACACAACCCTGACCCAGTTGACCAGTGCTTCTCAACCTTCCCAAGGCCACAACCCCTTATATAGTTCCTCATGTTGTGGTGATCCTCAACCAATATTTTCGTTGCTACTTCCTAAGTGTCATTTTGCTCCTGTTTTGAATCGTAATGTAAATATCTGATATGCAGGGTGTATTTTAATTCACTGGACCAAATTTGGGACAAATACTTGATACATCCAAATTTGAATACTGGTGGGGTTGGGAGAAATTGATTTTGTCAATTGGGAATTGTAGTTGCTGGGATTTATGGTTGACCTACAATCAAAGAGCATTCCGAATTCCACCAAAGATAGAACTGGGCCAAACTTGGCACACAGAACTCCCATGACCAACAGAAAATACTGGAGGGGTTTGGTGGGCATTGACCTTGAGTTTTGGAGTTGTTGTTCACCTACATCCAGAGAGCACGGTGGACTCAAACAATGATTCATCTGGACCAAACTTGACTCATACACTCAATATGCCCAAATGTGAACACTGGTGGAGTTTAGGGGGAAATAGACCTTGACATTTGAGAGTTGTAGTTGCTGGGATTTATAGTTTACCTACAATAAAAGAGCATTCTGAACCCCACCAATGATAGAATTGGACCAAATGTTCCACACGGAACCCCCATGCCTTGAAGGGTTTCGTTCGTGTGAGCCTCCCTCCAGCCTTGCAAGCTCTACCCTACCCATGCGCATCACATGCGCATCACACTGCCATGCACCATGCATGTCTGCTCTCACCTCCCTTGCTTGGAGTCTCAGAAACAACCCTTCCCTTGGCTGAGAGGCTGGCCAATCGCAGAGGAAAGGGGCTTTTGATGGGAGCATTCACTGTCCGTTTCCCAAAGGAAGAGAAGCCTTTTCTGCCAAAGGGGTTCCTAAGACCATCAGAAATATGTTTTCTGATGGTCTTTGGCAACCCCTCTGAAACCCCTTCATGACCCCCCCAAGGGTCCTGACCCCCAGGTTGAGAAACACTGCTGTAGGTTGTTTTTGCAGTTGTTTCTAATGGACATTGCTACTCTTGACTCCATGTGCATCCTCAAAAACCTTCCAAGCTTTTGCATTGTGAGTTCTATTTATATTCTTTTAAAGGCCGCATTGGTTTTATTTCCATCCATCAAAATTGCCAGGGTCTCCTCCAACCCATCCTGAATGAAACAATTGACACCAAGTCTTATATGAAGTATCTCAAACCCAGAGGATGCCTCTGCTACGAAGGCTGAATGATATATATACAGCTCTGAAGATCAAAAAAGCCCTGTAGAAACATATGACTGAACATCTCACAGATCCAAACTTTATTGGCTTGAAGCATTAATTGGTTCTTCCACATAGCCAAATAACCCAGAATATCAAGGCAGATAATCCACAATATCTGCTTTGAACTGGTTCATTTGAGTCCACACTGCCATATAATCCAGGTCAATGTGGATTTTACCAAGCTGTGTGGAATGGACCAAAGTCAGAAGTGTCACACTTATTATCATCAAGGGCTGTATTAACCTTATGGTGGCCTTCAAAAGGCTGTTGAATCCATGGATGGAGAATCTGTGGATACAGAGGGCCAGCTATAATGGCTTTACATAGCACCTGGTGCTCTTTAGCTTTTACCCAATTTGGGTCCCCAGACGTTATCGAACGACAACTCAAATCACTTTCAATTGCTATAATGCCATACAGACTGGGGTAATGGGAACTGCAACCCAACAGCCCTCGTGGATCTGAGGTTGGGAAAGGTTAAAGGATATTTTAAAGTCAAGCGTTGCACCCACAAGCATTGTTTCTAAATACAAAGCCCACTCTGCTGACTGAACATAACAAACTGAAGCCTTCCAGATGCCCTCGTATCCTCCCGGAGCAAAAATGGAACATCCGGCTGATGGATCAAAACATGGCATTTTTCCCCTCCTGAATTCAGGTAGTTCCCAAAAAAACAGAATGGGAACACTCAAAAACCAGACACCGAAAACACCATGGGGTTTACTCACACCCCTAATATATAGTGAATGAAGGATGATGGGAAAGGGGGCTAGTTGCACAACCAATACAATGTGATGTGGCGGCAAAAAAAGCCAATGGGATTTTGGCCTGCATCTAAAGGAGTCTAGTGTCTAGATCCAGGGAAGTCATGCTACCCACGCCCTATTCTGCCTTGGTTAGACCACACCTGGAATATTGTGTCCAATTCTGGGCACCACAATTGAAGAGAGATATTGACAAGCTGGAATGTGTCCAGAGGAGGGCGACTAAAATGATCAAGGGTCTGGAGAACAAGCCCCATGAGGAGCGGCTTAAGGAGCTGGGCATGTTTAGCCTGAAGAAGAGAATAGAAGAGGGGACATGATAGTCATGTACAAGTAAGTGAGAGGAAGTCACAGGGAGGAGGGAGCAAGCTTGCTTTCTGCTGCCCTGAAGACTAGGATGCAATGGAACAATGGCTTCAAATTACAAGAAAGGAGATTCCATCTGAACATTAGGAAGAACGTCCTGACTGTGAGAGCCATTCAGCAGTGGAACTCTCTGCCCCGGAGTGTGGGGGAGGCTCCTTCTTTGGGGGCTTTTAAGCAGGGGCTGGATGGCCATCTGTCAGGGGTGCTTTGAATGCAATTTTCCTGCTTCTCGGCAGAATGGAGTTGGACTGGATGGCCCATGAGGTCTCTTCCAACTCTATGATTCTATGACTTATTTTTTCCCCCAAGGAGTTCTTGCCCCACCTTTCTTACAAAACTGATAAGGGAAAGGGAAATTGGAAAGGACTCCGGGTCTTGTGGCTTGACTTATACAAAGCGCCTGTAAAAAGCAGGCACCAGGAGAGGGAAAAATAGGGTTCTGGTTGGTCACATTTTCCCACATGTTTCTAGATGACTTACAATTGGAATCCCATCAACTCTAGTCTATGATGTCTAATGATGATGAATTCAGGAGTTGTAGTCCCGCATCTGGAGGGCCACATGGCAGGCCAGATTCTGCCCGTGAACCATGAATTGGAGACATGATTTAAGAGATGTACCAAACAGAGAGAGCTTGGAAAAGTTGTTCTTGCCTCATTAGCAAGACCGGTTGAGAGGTTCTGAGAAGTGATGCCCAAAAGCCACTTTTCCACATTCTTCATGGTTGCTTTAGTTGACAACTAGAGTTGCAGACTTGGTTCTCTTCACCAGACTCAAGACAGTTCCAGATATAGTCCAATGGCAACTTGACCCTCCTGTTCTTGATGCAGAAGTATTGTCATGGTCATGAATCTCTTGCTCCGCCATGCAATGATCATAGAATCACAGAATCATAGAATCAAAGAGTTGGAAGAGACCTCATGGGCCATCCAGTCCAACCCCCTGCCAAGAAGCAGGAATATTGCATTCAAATCACCCCTGACAGATGGCCATCCAGCCTCTGTTTAAAAGCTTCCAAAGAAGGAGCCTCCACCACACTCCGGGGCAGAGAGTTCCACTGCTGAACGGCTCTCTCAGTCAGGAAGTTCTTCCTCATGTTCAGATGGAATCTCCTCTCTTGTAGTTTGGAGCCCTCAGTGGCACAATGGGTTAAAGCAGTGCTTCTCAACCTGTGGATCCCCAGATGTTTTGGCCTTCAACTCCCAGAAATCCTAACCACTGGGATTTCTGGGAGTTGTAGGCCAAAGCACCTGGGTACCCACAGGTTGAGAACCACTGGGTTAAAACCTTGTGCCAGCAGGACTGAAGACTGACAGGTCGGAGGTTTGAATCCAGGGAGAACGTGAATGAGCTCCCTCTGTCAGCTCCAGATTCCCATGTGGGGACATGAGAGAAGCCTCCCACAAGGATGGTCAAACATCTGGGTGTCCCCTGGGCAACATCCTTGCAGATGGCCAATTCTCTCACATCAAAAGCGACTTACAGTTTCTCAAGTAGCTCCTAACATGAAATAATAATAATAATAATAATAATAATAATAATAATAATAATAATAATGTTATTCGGGCAATGTCTCCTGGGCAATGTCCTTGCAGACAGCCAATTATCTCACACCAGAAGCGACTTGCAGTTTCTCATTCACTGCTGACACACACACACATAATGCAATGATATGTGTCCAATGTCCTAATCTCTCTCCAGCACCAAACTAGTTGGAGGACTTCTTGGATCTACTTCTCTTTATGTTATTAGGATGTTGCCTCTTCAACCGGACTAATATCCAACAAGAAGTAAAAACTCTCACTTGGATAAACCACACATGGAGCAGACCAAAACAATGGAAAGCCCAATAGGCCCCTCAACCCTATAAAACAGGCTTGGGCAAACTTCAGCCCTCCGGGTGTTTTGGACTTCAACTCCCACAATTCCTAACAGCTGAAGTAGACTGTTAGGAATTGTGGGAGTTGAAGTCCAAAACACCTGGAGGGCTGAAGTTTGCCCATGCCTGCTATAAAACCCAAAAATAATGGAGCCTTACCCATGGCCGTATCTTCATCAGGTCTGTGTCTCAATGAAGGAGGTCACTTGTCCTGGGTTGACCTTCAAAGGCAAGGGTTGACCCTGTAATAATAAGAATAATGTAAATAAAGGACCTTTAGGTGGTCATAGCCTCATGGCAGATTTTGAGCACCCTGGATCAAAACTGGCCATCTCTCCAATTATAGAAGACAACAAACATCATCTTGTATCCATCCATCTCAAATGTTGTTCCTACATTTCATCACTCAGGAAGGAGAGTGACAAATGTAACTATGGTTTGTTACTTCGAACATCACACGAAAACACAGTGTAAATGGTTAAGAGGATATCATCCAACGTAATGTTTGTGTACTAAAGAAGAGAAACAAAACAAGGTGGGAGCTCTGAATTTCCCTCTCTGAAGATTCGTTGCCCTTATAATAAAGACATTGCAGAACTGGGTTGCTGTGAGTTTTCCCGGCGGTATGGCCATGTTCCAGAAGCATTTTCTCCTGACGTTTCGCCCACATCTATGACAGGCATTCTCAGAGGTTGTGAGTTCTGTTGGAAACTGGGTAAGTGGGGTTTATATAACTGAGAAATGTCCAGGGTGAGAGAAAGCTGCAGCATAGAATTGGAAGGCTCATCCCATCCAACTCTTTTCTGCCATGCAAGGATGCACATTCCAAGCCCTACTTGCAGATGACCATTCAGCCTCTATTTATACTAACCCAGTCAATTCAATGTATTGTCAAAGGCTTTCATGGCTGGAATCACTGGGTTGTTGTGAGTGAGTTTTCTGGACTGTACAGCCATGTTCCGGAAGCATTCTCTCCTGACGTTTCACCCCCATCTATGGCATGGCAGCCATCCTCAGAGGTTGTGAGGTCTGTTGGAAACTAGGCAAGTGAGGTTTATATATCTGTGGGATGTCCAGGTGGAAGAAAGAACTCTTATCTGTTGGAGGCAGGTGTGAATGTTGCAATTGACCACCTTATTAACATTGAATGGCCTTACAGCTTCATAGCCTGGCTCCTTCCAGCCTGGGGGACTCTTTTGTTAGGAGGTGTTAGTTGGCCCCGATTGTTTCCTGTCTGGAATTCCCCGGTTTTCTATATTTACTGTCCTGATTTTAGAGTTTTTTGGCTACCAGTATTTAAAAAAACTCTAAAATCAGGACAGTAAATAAAGAACAACACTCTGAAAACAGGGGAATTCCAGACATGAAACAATCAGGGCCAGCTAACATCTCCTAACAAAGGAGTCCCCCAAGCACGAAGCAGCCAGGTTTTGAAGCTGCAAGGCTATTCAATGCTAACCAAGCTGGCCAATTGCAACATTCACATTTGTCTGTTGAAGGCAAGTATGAATGTTGTAATTGGCCACCTTGATTAGCATTTAATAGACTTGCAGCTTCAAAGCCTGGCTGGTTATGCCTGGGGGGACCCTCTGTTGGGAGATATTAGCTGACCCTGATTGATCTTCCAACACCTCCCCACAAAGAATTCCCCCAGGCAGCAACCAACTAGGCTTTGAAGCTGCAAGGCCATTAAATGCTTATCAAGGTGGCCATTTGCAACATTCACACTTGCCTCAAGCAGACAAGAATTCACAACTTTTGAGGATACCTGCCATAGATGTGGGTGAAACATCAGGAGAGAATGCTTCTGGAAGATGGCCAGAAAACTCACAGAAACCCAGTGATTCCGGCCATGGAAGCCTTCGACAACAAACTGCAGAACATTCAGCAATGCACAAGATATTACAGTCAGAGCAGTAAACAATGCTATCGACATCTGAGACACCTCAGCAGCAAGTACACATATATTTATACAAACTTATTTTCAGAGATTCAGGCAGGAAGAAACAAAAGATGCCCCGAGTCAATCGTCCGAAATGAACATGAAAGCTAAACATGTTTATTCCTTTTGCTTGCTGCTGTTTCCGATCAAGGACTGGACAGTTATGTTGGGAAACAGAAACTTAGCTGAGCCATCACAAGTCCTTTGAATCAAAGGAAGAAGCCAAATGAGGTCTAAGAAAGCAACAGGGTCTGTTAAGCCTGCAGAAAAGAAGATTGAGAGAAGACATGATAGATATGTATAAATATGTGAAAGAATGCCATAAGGAAGGAGCAGACTTGTTTCTGCTGCCTTGGACACTAGGACTCAAAGCAATGGATTCAAATGACAGGAAAGGAGATTCCATCTGAACATTAGGAAGAACTTCCTGACTATACGAGCTGTTCAACAGAGGAACTCACTGCCTTGGAGTGCAGTGGAAGCTCCTTCTTTGGAAACTTTTAAACAAAGGCTGGATGGTCATCTGTCAGGGATACTTCGATTGTGCTTTTCCTGCATGGTAGGGCGTTGGACTAGATGGCCCATGTGGTCTCTTCCAACTCAATTATTCTATTATTCTTTGTTGGCCTAATAAAAGTATTAAGCTAACTTGGATTAATGAGTGTAATCTTCCCAGTTTCTAAACTGCTGCCAATACAGACCACAGATGCATCTACTTTGTAGAATTAACACAGTTTGACACCACTTTCATTTCCATGGCTCAACGCAATGGAATATTGGGAGATATAGTTTCAAAAGGGATATAGCCTTCTCTGCCGGTGTCTCGCCAAACTACAACTCCCACAATTCCATCGCATTGAGCCATGCAATTATACAGGGTTTTTTTTTCAATGTCAGGAGCAACTTGAGAAACTGCAAGTCGCTTCTGGTGTGAGAGAATTGGCCGTCTACAAGGACGTTGCGCAGGTGACACCCGGATGTTTTACCATCCTGTGTGAGGCGTCTCTCATGTTCCCACATGGGAAGCTGGAGCTGACAGATGGGAGCTCAACCCACTCCCTGGATTTGAAATGCCGACTTTTCAGTCAGCAGTTCTGCCAGCACAAGGGTTTAACCCATTGTAGATGCACTCTGGATTGTAAGAGTCGCCCTAATACAACGTAGCTGAAAATGGGGCTTTCCTTTGTTTTCTGAATGGCTCTGAAGCAAGCAAAATAACACACACACACATATATGCACACACACACACACACATAATAAAAAATACAAAGTGGAAAAAGAGATCTTTGCTTTAAAAAGATTCCACAACGCTAACTTTCAGCGAGTTTCCGGGAGGCCTGCCAGGCAAAGCGGAGAAGGTTTATTATATGTGCGTCTGTGTGTGTTGTTGTTGTATTATTTTTTACAGAAATGTACTATGGAACAGTTCAAAAAATATGATCGTCATTTGCCGGAGCTCTTGGGGCCAGCAAAGGGAAGTTCGAACTGCAATAATAATGAAATAATGAGAAACGGCTTGAAAAAGCGAGTGGTCTCCGAGCTGGAGAAACAAGCGGAGTGTTTGCCTCAAAGGAAAAAGGCCAGTTGCAATAAGAAGGAAGAGAAGAAGCGGCATTTGGGTTTATTTGGAGTCAAGGCACCTAAACATAGATCGGGACGAGGGACCGAAATAGTAATCGCTTCAAGCACAATTGCATTATGCGAGCCTTCTGGGCATCAAAGTTAAGTTCTAGTTTTGCCATTTCAGGATGAAAATAATGTTTGCACAGCTGGGAAAAATGATTAGAAAGCCCAAAATAAATTGACTGGGTTGTTGTGAGTTTTCCAGGCAGTATGGCCATGTTCCAGAAGCATTCTCTCCTGACGTTTCGCTTGCATCTATGGCAGACATCCTCAGAGGTTGTGAAGTCTGTTGGAAACTAGGCAAGTGAGGTTTATATATCTGTGGAATAATGTCCAGGGTGGGAGAAAGAACAATTCAAGAGAGATATTGACAAGCTGGAATGTGTCCAGAGGAGGGCGACTAAATGATCAAGGGTCTGGAGAACAAGCCCTATGAGGAGCGGCTTAAGGAGCTGGGCATGTTTAGCCTGAAGAAGAGAAGGCTGAGAGGAGATATGATAGCCATGTATAAATATGTGAGAGGAAGCCATAGAGAGGAGGGAGCAAGCTTGTTTTCTGCTTCCCTGGAGACTAGGACGCGGAACAATGGCTTCAAACTACAAGAGAGGAGATTCCATCTGAACATGAGGAAGAACTTCCTGACTGTGAGAGCCGTTCAGCAGTGGAACTCTCTGCCCCGGAGTGTGGTGGAGGCTCCTTTTTTGGAAGCTTTTAAACAGAGGCTGGATGGCCATCTGTCAGGGGTGATTTGAATGCAATATTCCTGCTTCTTGGCAGAATGGGGTTGGACTGGATGGCCCATGAGGTCTCTTCCAACTCTTTGATTCTATGATTCTATGATTCTTGTCTTTCGGAGGCAAATGTGAATGTTGCAATTGGCCAGCTTGATTAGCACTGAATAGCATTGCAGCGTCAAAACCTGGCTGCTTCCTGCCTGGGATGTTGTTGGGATGTGTCAGCTGGCCCTGATTGTCTTCTGCCTGGAATACCGCGGTTTTCTTTAATAATCATAATAATCATAATCATAATAATCATAGAATCAAAGAGTTGGAAGAGACCTCATGGGCCATCCAGTCCAACCCCCTGCCAAGAAGCAGGAATATTGCATTCAAATAACCCCTGACAGATGGCCATCCAGCCTCTGTTTAAAAGCTTCCAAAGAAGGAGCCTCCACCACACTCTGGGGCAGAGAGTTCCACTGCTGAACGGCTCTCACAGTCAGGAAGTTCTTCCTCATGTTCAGATGGAATCTCCTCTCTTGTAGTTTGAAGCCATTGTTCGCGTCCTAGTCTCCAGGGAAGCAGAAAACAAGCTTGCTCCCTCCTCCCTGTGGCTTCCTCTCACATATTTATACATGGCTATCACATCTCCTCTCAGCCTTCTCTTCTTCAGGCTAAACATGCCCAGCTCCTTAAGCCGTTCCTCATAGGACTTGTTCTCCATAATAATAATAATAATACTTTATTGGTACCCCACTACCATCTCTCCATGGGACTCGGTGCGGCTTACATGAGGCCGAGCCCAAACACAACAATACAAGCAATAATAACAACAATACAAGCAATTAAAATAAAAACATAGACAATACAAATATACAAAATTATCAATAAGACAACAATTTTAGAGCTTTTTGGCTACCAGTATTTTAAAAACCCTCTAAAATCAGGACAGTAAATA